ATCTGGAAAAATCTGGGTGTGAATAGATTCTATGAGTATTAGACTAAGGAAAACAAAATATAACACCAGATTGGTGGTGGTTTATTTGCTAAGTTGTGTCCCACTCTTTCAACACCATGGACTAAAGCCCACTAGGCTCCTCTGTCCATGGGATTTCCCAGGCAAGAACACTGGAGTGGGTAGCCATTCCCTTCTCCAGGGGATTGTCCCAACCCAGGGATCGATGCCATGAATCATTTGTGAAAGATTTAGGATTTAAAGGTTAGTTTCTACAGCTGAAAAGAGCCCCAAGAGTTAACTTCGACTCCATGATGGTCCACATTTAATAAGATTCCTGTTGTTGTTCAGTTGCTAAGTTATATCCAACTCTTTGCTATCATGTGAGCTGCAGCACGCCAGGCTCCTCTGTCCTCCACTCTCTCCTGGAGTTTGCTCAAACTCATGTCCATCAAGTTGGTGATGCCATCCAATCATCTCCATCCTTGGTCGCCCCTTCTCTTCCTGCCCTCAAATCTTTTCCAGTTAGTCAGCTCTTGGCATCAGGTAGCCAAAGTAATGGAGCTTCAGCTTCAGCATCAGTCCTTCCAGTGAATATGCAGGGATGATTTCCTTTAGGATTGACTGGTTTGATCTTGCTGTCCAAAGAATCCTCAAGAGACTTCTCCAACACCATAACTCTAAAGCATCAGTTCTTTGGCACTCAGCATTCTTTTTTTTTTCCCCATTTATTTTTATTAGTTGGAGGCTAATTACTTTACAATATTGTAGTGGTTTTTGTCATACATTGACATGAATCAGCCATGGATTTACATGTATTCCCCATCCCGATCCCCCCTCCCACCTCCCTCTCCACCCGATTCCTCTGGGTCTTCCCAGTGCACCAGGCCCGAGCACTTGTCTCATGCAGGGTCCAGCTCTCACATCCGTACATGACCATTGGGAAAACCATAGCTTTGACTATCTGGATTTTTGTCGGCAAAGTGATATCTCTGCTTTTTAATATGCTGTCTCAGTTTGTCATGGCTTTCCTCCCAAACAGCAAGCATCTTTTAATTTCAAGGCTGCAGTCACTGTCTGCAGGGATTTTAGAGTCCAAGAAAATAAAATCTGTCACTGTTTCCAATTTTTCCCCTTCTATTTGCCATGAAGTAAAGGGACCTGATGCCGTGATCTTAGTTTTTTGAATGTTGAGTTTTAAGACAGCTTTTTCACTCTCCTCTTTCACCCTCATCAACAGCCTCTTTAGTTCCTCTTTACTTTCTGCCTTTAGAATGATATCATCTACATATATGAGTTTATTGACATTTCTCCCAGCAATCTTGATTCCAGCTTGTGATTCATCCAGCCTGGCATTTCGCACGATGTGCTCTGCATAGAAGTTAAATAAGCAGGGTGACAATATACAGCCTTGTCATACTCCTCTCCCAGTTTTGAACCAGTCAGTTGTACCATGTAAGGTTCTAATTGTTGCTTCTTGTCCTGCATACAGGTTTCTAAAATAGGTAAGGTGGTCCGATAGTCCCATTTCATTAAGAAGATTCCACAGTTTGTTGTGATGCACACAGTCAAAGGCTTTCGTGTAGTCAATGAAGCAGAAGGAGATGTTTTTCTGAAACTCCCTTGCTTTCTCCATGATCCAAGGAAAGTTGGCAATTTGATCTCTGGTTCCTCTGTCTCTTAGAAACCCAGCTTATATATCTGGAAATTCTTGGTTCATGGACTGCTGAAGCCTAGCTTAAAGGATTTGAGCATTACCTTGTTAGCATGTGAAATAAGCACAATTATATGGAGTTTAAACCTTCTTTGGCACTGGAATGAAAACTGACCTTTTCCAGTCCTGTGGCCACTGCTGAGTCTTCCAAATTTGCAGATATGCTGAGGGCAGCACTTTAACAGCATCATCTTTTAGGATTTTAGATAGCTCAGCTAATAAAATAGTAGTAGTAGTGTTAGTCGCTCAGTTGTGTCCAACTCTTTGGACAGATTCTTTACCATCTGAGCTACAGAGACCACAACTTCTCATGGAATAATAGAGTCAAGAACCCAAAAGTTTAACAAAGTAGAAATGTTGGAGTGGATCTATCCTGGCAATTTGCACACATAATCCCTCCACCACCACATCCCCAAGAGGGCCCAGCAGATGCTTCACTGAAGCACCCACTTGCTTATTATATGGGCAAGAGGTCACTAGTGTAGCCCTTTATTAGTCTGCCAGTCATAAAACTCATTGTGCTGCTACAATATAAGAACTCCCTATTTTCTTTCTCCAACCCCTTATTTATTTCCTTCATGGTACTTACTATAAACTGCAATTATTTGTCTTTTCTTGGTTTTGTTTATTTTTTTTTTTCCTATTTTTTTTTTCTGTGTCCTCCACTTACATATCATTCCACAAGAATGACAACTGCATATATCTTATTCACTATTGTATCTTGACTGCCTAACATAGTACCTGGTACACAGGCATTCAATAAAGATTTGCTGAAGGCATAAACAGAGTCAGTCTGTCTTTGCCAACTTTAAATTCTGGTCCTTCCTTCTTCTAGAATACATATATTCAGGAAAACATGATCCCCTCACAGATGATTTACATCTGAGTTGAAAACTTGTACAAACTTATAAATCACCTCTGTGTATTTATTTTTTTCAGCCTAAAACAGATGACCTGGTTTGCTGATATCGCCTCTCCCAGTAAATTTATATTATGCCCAGAAAAATGTTTTTCAAAATTTTCAACAACTTAAAAAAATTTTTTTCCTCATAATAAAGGTCATTTTAGTGCCTTCACCATCTGTTTCTGCATGAAGAATGTTTGAAGAGGATCCTGTCTTTTTCCAGAATCACATTTCTGCCCACAGTCATGTGTCACCTCATATCACAAGTTAACAAAATTCTCAAATGCCATTAAAGTGTATCTTCTGATTCATGGGGCAATTTTTGTACAGCCTGGAGCACTTGCTATGAGTGTCACGAGGAAGCTTTTCTTGCTTCTGTATCAAATAGGGGGTGGAGTCATTCATAGTACAACATTTCAAAATTCAATGTTCCATTTAATCAAAAGCTTCTATTTTCAGTCTATGAACCTTTATTTCTAGCAACTACTAAGTGCTTTCACTAAGTCAGTTTTACACACAACCCCCACAAACATACATACAATGTTTTTATCACTGTAAGAGTTATTACACACATTTAACTACTAGTGACTAAGTAAGAAACAGTACTAAGATCCAGGCAATATGTTAACATCATCTACTACATTAAGTAAATACCTCAGACTGCTTAGTGTCACAGGAGCACTCCTTAATTCGAATTCACACCTCAGCAAAACTGCAAGATACTGTATGTCTTGGACCTTCAAGGTTGCATTTACATAGTTGAAACTTTGAAAGTTGACATCCTTAAATACCAAAGACTTATTGCATATCTCACTTTTGCAAAGATCTGTGCCCTCAACAGGGCTTTAAAAAAATTTTAATATACTTTATATTACAAAGATCTGTTTTTCACCTAAAGTGTCTCAATGTGTAATCTGTCCAACAGGACCAGTTATGGTCTGAGTAGAAATAACAACAAAATATACACCTCACAACATACTATATAAATGTTAGTAGTAGATAGCAATGTTAATAATATGGTATATACAAACTTATATAATGTTATATGTCAATTATATCTCAATAAAGCTGGGAAAACAGAAAAATACAGTAGAAATCCTTTCTCTTCTGAAAGAATTAGGGCAGTTTTTTAGCTGGATACTCAGAGAAGTCAGTTAAAGCAAGGAATTCTAGAAAATGATAAGCACACATTATAACCATTTAAACTGACACCATGAGTAAGTATAATTCATTCACCAATCCTCTGTGTAGCGGACCTAGTCTTTATCTGAATTTGGATCTGCTGTCTGAAATTCCAGTCTTAAATATACAACACCCCCACACCCATAACACATTATCTGTAATTGCAGTTTCAGTTCTTATAAAATTCGGCAAAAACTTCAACACATATGAAACAGTCCAAACCGTTTTTTCCCCAATACTTTGCATTTTTCTTGTTTTCCCCTAAGTTGACAGCCAATTTCTAAAAGTACTTGCTTTTCTCACTTTTTTTCAGAGCATTCAACTTAGGTATCATATTCTCCCTTTTACACTAGTAATTCATCAGTGTACAGAATGCTTAGTAACAAATGCACCTGGCGTTAAGTAAGTCTGAAAACAAATAAAACTGACTGCTAACAGGTTAACCATTAGACCCACAGGAATAAAAGTACACAAGCATCATACTGAGAAGCCTACGAGCCACAAACAGCGTATGAGGAACATGAGTTAACACATTTTACCCAGGAAACGCACAGCATTGGTTTAACCATCTGGTTGGTTAACGAGATGTCAGTTGAAAAGAGTTTTTGCCATATTATAATTCAGGTCTCAAGCACAGCTGTCTAAGAAAAAAGTCCAAAATAGTTTCTCTCTCACATGTATATATGCTGGCCTTCTGCATTTTTCCTCAGTCATGTATGATATACATTTAAAGACAATGAAGTCAGGGACTTCCCTGGTGGTCCAGTGGTGAAGACTCTACTTCCACTGCAGGGGGTGCAGGTTCCATCCTGGTTGGGGAACTAAGATCCCACATGCCACATGGCATGGCCAGTAAATACAGACATTGAAGTCAAAGAGTAAAAAAAAAAGAAGTCAGAATACTTAAAAGGAGCAACAGAAAAGGAATGCAGATGTTTAAGGAGAACATAATCAGAGAATCTGATTCTTCACAAAAGAACCTAAATGAGTCAGTAAAATACATTTTAAGCAACTTATAATGGTACTATATTAATTTGAAAAAACTGATCCACCTTTGAAACACCCCATTAACAGCAAAAAAAAAAGAAGCTTTCTGAACCATAAATAAATACATTAATGCTAGATATCTGCTTGAAAACATTAAATTTAGACTACCTGTACTCCTTTTGTGATTATAAGGGGAAGGGTGATATGAGGACTTACTTATCTCACTGGAAACTTGGTTCAGTTTGTCCTGTGATCTGCTGATAAGGACAATTTTCATTCCACGCTTTGCTAACTGAAACAATAAAAGAAGACACCGAAGAGCTGAATCACATTTGTGTGTTTCACTTTAAAATGTAAATTAGATATAGTCTCATTTTAAGAAAATCTGACCCATATGATAACTCAAGTTAAAAAACAAATATACCCCTGAATGTAATGAATGGGCAAACCAAAATGAAGACTTTACAAAAAGATTCCCCAAAGAATTATCTTTCTCAGTCAAGCTAGTGTATAAAAGTCAATGGGTTTGTAAAATAAATTAGCCTCCAACTAATAAAAATAAATGGAAAAAAAAAAGTCAATGGGTTTTAGAAAAAGGAAGACTTTTATTTTGTACCTGTCCATACTTAATGTTTTTATTCCTAAGTATATATTACTTCTTTAATTTAAAAATTAGCTTTAAAAGTTTTTGACTGGATATATGAAGACTGTAGAACTAGCAAAGGACGCTACGGTTATAATGTTGGGAATTCATAAATAGAATCAATTTTAAAGTTTTTATTTAAATACTATACTTTATGGACTACAAAGAAAAACTAAGATAGTTAATTGACTTAATTAGTTAAAAGACTTAATAAAGAATTTCCTGAGGAGTCCCTTCTGTGGACTTCCCCAGTACTGTATAAGTACTGCACAGAATGAATAAAATTTATAGTAACACGGCTTCTACCCCCAGAGACCCATAAATATAGGAGCAGAGGAAAGAACACTGATATACACAGAATTTTTAGGGAACTACTACAGACAGTATATAAATGAGAATAAATTATGTGCTCCGAACTATAAATGATTTAGTAAACTAATTTTCCAGTCCTAAATCCTAAAGTCAGCTTTTATTAAGTAAAAAGTGGTATAGCAAATGAGAAGATATGGAACTTTTTTTTATAAAAAATAATTAAGATTGGTAATAACTTGCTGAATTAATCTCTTATAAAAACACTATAAAAAACCCACAAATATATACCAAGAGTTATTTTTTCTTTTTAATTAATGGGGAGAGGAAGAACAAAAAAAAGAGCCTAGCTATAGAAAAATGGCATCTAATATAACTGTAAAAGGAAAGATACCATTTAAAAATCACCATTTTAAACCTACCCTAGCGATAACTAATTTAGGCAAAAATCAGCAACAGATGCTGGGGTGGAAGATTGTTGAGAAATGAGGTATGCATACAAAGAATCATCCCACAGATTCCTCATTAATTACAAAGGGGGAAAAGGTACTTTTATAATAGAAAATTATGGTAGAGAGCATCTTAATAAGTGATTTATCTCAACTAAATCAATAAAGGAATGAGTGGACTTCTTGTGGCTCCTGATAAGATCAACTCAAAAGAATACAGTATCACCTGTGTAACATTCCTGCTAAAAAATGTTCAACACCTGTGCAGCATTTCTGCTAAAAAAATTTAACTTGAACCGAATCATGAGGAAGTGAGCAACTGAGCACACATGCACACAGTCATGAGGAACAGTCAGACAAATCAGACAAACTGGGTAATCTACAAAACAACTGGCGTGGTTTTTTCCAAAACACCACTGTTATAAAAGAAAAAAGGCAAAAAAGCTGGGCGGGGGTGGGGGGCGCGGGCGGGGCTGCGAGGAAGGGCACTAGGGAGCTCTCCTAGTCAAGAAATATGACATCTAGCTGCAACACACAATCTTTAAATGGATTCTGGAATACAAAAAGCTCTATAAAAGACATTATTGGGATAACAGGGAAATGTGCATACAGAGTATATATTGTACAGTAGTAAGGTGTCAAGTTAAACTTCCTATCCCATGTATGATCACTGAACTGTGGTTACAAGAGTGAACGTTCTAGTTCTCAGAAGCTTCATGTTGAATCTTTAAGGGTGAATTGTTACAAAGCCTGTAAGTCCCAAATGGTCCCACCAAATTATAATGATAAAGTGAAACAGAGAAAACGTTAACAACTGGTGAATCCTGATGAAAGGTATATGAGTGCTTGCTATATTCTTCTTGCAACTTTTCTATAGATTTTGTATTAAAAACAGAAGGCTGAGAAACCAAAGGATTTTTTAAAAACCCTTTTGAAAGGATAAATGAGAGAGTCAGTGGATTGGCCAGGATCTCCGTCACAATCAGACAATATCTCAGGCTGTTGGTGCCTCTGTGGAACGAGGACTGCATGCCTTAACGGCACGGCCAATGCTTCTGGTCTGTACAGTTCTGTTCAAACTATTATGATGTCTTCCCTTTCAGTTACATTACAGACAACTGGAATCCTCTGAGGGTGTCTGTCAATATCTGTCAATCACAGTCCTTCTTGTGAAAACGACACCACGGCTAGTCTGCATATTCAATCGCTCTCTCATAATTTATCTACCTTTTGAAAAATAATCCAAAGCAATTAACTTTAAAGACTGAGAACGGTCCATAGTTAACAATATAAAATAAAATTACACTAAAATGTTCACAATTCCAACTTATCTGGACAAAATGTTTTACACGCATTATGCCCCAAAATTTGTTTTAAAGTTGTGTTTAAGCATAGCACTGCTAACAAGGTAGAAACAAAGTACCTCTATTATGTTGTATAATGCTCTAATGGTGCTTTTAACTTCAAAATCAAAATTACTATAAAAGAGCATTCTATATTTGTTCTTATATTTTTATACCAAAAAGAAAAGTCTTGAAAATTACTTACTTCTTCTGCATATGATTTTCCAATTCCATCAGTACTACCTGTGACAACTGAGAAAAGAAAAAAGTAGCAGTTCAGTTTCAGAATCACGATGTAGAACTGATCATAGTTAAAACTCACCAATTAGACACAAGAGTGCCTGTGTGATACGGCTGACCCCTGAACAACACAGCTTTGAACACCAAGAGTCCATGTATAAGCGGATTTTTTCCAATAAATACATAGTACAGTACTACATGATCCAAGTTGGTTGAATCCACAGATATAAAACCTCAGAAGCTAAATATCAAGATACTGAGAGCCAACTGTCAGGTTATATTTGGATTTTCAACTGCATGGAGGAGGGTCCGTGACCCTAACTGACCGTGCTGCTGACAGGGTCAACTATACTTTGATGTAAAAGATGGAGCAATTACCAGTGGTTCAATATTAGGAGCGAATACCCAGCACAAAGCTAAAAATAAAAAAACTGCACTTCCAAGGGCTGACAAGGATGGGAAGCAGCTAGGACTCTCACACAATGCTGGTGGCACTATAAATTGACACAATCATTTTGGAAAAATGACTTTGCATTATGTCCAGAAATAAACGTGCCTCCACCTGTGACCTAACAATTCCCAAGAGGTAATAAAAACATCATGTCTATCAAAACAACATCCATGGTAGCTTTACTGATGCACAGTTGTCCAAATATTAAACTACAAGAGAATGAGTAAGTAGATTAAGGTATATTTACACAACAGAATACTAAATAGCAATTTTTTAAATAAAAGAACTATTAATACATGCAAAAGATGACCAGATCTCTCAGACATTATACTGAGCCAAAAAAGCCTGAAATAAAAGTGTGCAAGCTGTTTTGATTCCATTTATCCAATTCCAAAAAGAGAAAAACTAATCTATAATGACAGAAGTTACAATATCGGCTACTCCTGGGTAATGGGGTAGATGACAGGGAAAAGGCATTAAGGGAACCTTCAGGATGTAGGAAATATTCTATATCTTGATGTTTATGTGTGTATGTAAAAATGCATGGAGCTGTACAATTAAGTACACACTAGCCTATTATACATTTAAAAACTTTAAAATATATATATAGGTAGTAGAAATCGAGTAATATCTATTTCTTCTATGAGAAAGCATATTTCTCTTTAAAGCTCTAAAATCTTATGTAGCATAAACACTTGACAATGATAACAGGTCAGACCACACCATGGTATCTTACCTCTAAAATACTCTTTTATTAACAAATTCACAGCATGGTTGTGAATAGCATCCTGTGGCTCAGACGGTAAAGAATCTGCCTGCAGTGCAGGAGACCTGGATCTTAATCCCTGGGTCGGGAAGACCCACTGGAGAAGGGAATGGTTACTCACTCCAGTATTTTTGCCTGAAGAATTCCATGGACAGAGGAGCCTGGTGGTCTATAGCCCACAGGGTCACAAAGAGTTGGACATGACTGAGCAGCTAACATTTTCCCTACTTTTACTATTCAAAAATACGGCAAACATATCTAAATTCTTCCTAGTCATATCTTTCACAATCATAATAGAATATGAAGTAACAGAACAGGTTATGAAATCATATCTATGTCTCCATCTCTGTCTCTCCCCCTCTTAGCTGCTAGTCGTGTCCAACCCTTTGTGACCCCGTGGACTGTAGCCCATCAGGCTCCTCCATCCATGGGATTCTCCAACAAGAATACTGGAGTGGGTTGCCATTTTCTATCTGCTCTATCGGCTTCGCTTCCTCTCCCTCTGCCTCCCTCCACCTCCCCTCCCTGGCATTTGCTGAATATATTAGAACATACATTTAACTTAACCAGCCTGTCACTGGCTGATTGCATCCTCCTGATGTCATTTAACATGTTCTTCTGTCTACTAATAGTTAGGTGATCAAATTCAGGTTTAATTTTTTGGGTAAGAATACTTTATAAGCAATAGTACGTACTTCTATCAGGAGGCACAGGTTTGCTAATTTTGCTTTTTGTTATATAAGCAGCCATTGATGTTCACTACTGAGATATATTATTTCATTAGAGACTGCAAAATGGTGATACTTCCGTAAGCCTCTTATCCTTCTCCATCAGAGGGCAGACAGAATGAAAACCACAATCACAGAAAACTAAACAAACTGATCACACGGACCACACCTTTTCTAACTCAATAAAACTATGAGCCATACCATGTAGGGTCACCCAAGACGGATGGGTCATGGTGGATAGCTCTGACAAAACGTGGTCCACTGAAAAAGGGAATGGCAAACCACTTCAGTATCCTTGCCTTGAGAACCCCATGAACAGTATGAAAAGGCAAAAAGATAGGACAATGAAAGAAAGTTGGTAGATGCCCAATATGCTACTGGATTATCAATAGAGAAATAACTCCAGAAAGAATGAAGAGATGGAGCCAAAGCAAAAACACCCAGTTGTGGACGTGACTGGTGACGGAAGTCAATTCTGATGCTGTAAAGAGCAATACTGCATAGGAACCTAGATTGCTAGGTCCGTGAATCAAGGCAAATTGAAAGTGGCCAAACAGGATAGGGCAAGAGTGAATACTGACATTTTAGGAATCAGTGAACTAAAATGGACTGGAATGGGTGAATTTAACTCTGATGACCATTATATCTATTACTGTGGGCAAGAATCCCCTAGAAGAAATAGAGTAGCCATCACAGTCAACAAAAGAGTCCGTAATGCAGTACTTGGGTACGATCTCAAAAGGACAGAATGATCTCCATTCATCTCCACGGCAAGCCATTCAACATCACAGTACTCCAAGTCTATGCCTGAGCAGTAAGGCTGAAGAAGCCAAAGTTGAACAGCTGTATGAAGACCTACAAGACCTTCTAGAACTAACATCCAAAAAAGATGTCCTTTTCATCATAGGGGACTGCAATGAAAAAGTACGAAGTCAAGAGGTACCTGGAGTAACAGGCAAATTTGGCCTTGGAGTATGAAACGAAGCAGGGCAAAGGCTAATAGAGTTTTGTCAGAGAGTGCGCTGGTCATAGCAAACACCCTCTTCCAACATAAGAGAAGACTCTATACATGGACAACACCAGATGGTCAATACCGAAACCAGATTGATTATATTCTTTGCAGCCAAAGATGGAGAAGCTCTATACAGTCAGCAAAAACAAGACCAGGAGCTGACTATGGCTCAGATCATGAACTCCTTATAGCCAAAGTCAGACTTAAATTGAAGAAAGTAGGGAAAACCACCAGGTATGACCTAAATCAAATCCCTTATGATTATACAATGAAAGTGAGAAATAGATTCAAGGTAGACAGAATCTACCTTGATTGAATGAATCTGATAGACAGAGTGAATGAATGAATCTGATAGACAGAGTGCCTGATGAACTATGGATGGAGGTCTGTGACATTGTACAGGAGGCAGTGATCAAGACCATCCTCAAGAAAAAGAAATGCAAAAAAGCAAAATGGTTGTCTGAGGAGGCCTTACAAATAGCTGAGAAAAGAAGAGAAGCTAAAGGCAAAGGAGAAAAGGAAAGACCTACCCATTTGAATGCAGACTTCCAAAGAACAGCAAGGAGAGATAAGAAAGCCTTCCTCCATGACCAATGCAAAGAAATAGAGGAAAACAACAGAATGGGAAAGACTAGAGAGCACTTCAAGAAAATCAGAGACACCAAGGGAACATTTCACGCAAAGATGGGGCTCAATAAAGGACAGAAATGGTATGGACCTAACATAAGCAAAAGATAGGAAGAAGAGGTGGAAACAATACACAGAAAAACTAGACAAAAAAGATCTTCATGACCCAGATAACCACGACGGTGTGATCACACACCTAGAGCCAGACAACCCTGGAATGACATCCTGGGCCTTAGGAAGCATCACTACGAACAAAGCTAGTGGAGGTGATGGAATTCCAGTTGAGCCATTTCAAATCCTAAAAGATGATGCTGTGAAAGTGCTGCACTCAATATGCCAGCAAATTTGGAAAACTCAGCAGTGGCAACAGGACTGGAAAAGGTCAGTTTTCATTCCAATCCCAAAGAAAGGCAATGCCAAAGAATGCTCGAACTACCACACAATTGCATTCATCTCACATGCTAGTAAAGTAATGCTCAAAATTCTCCAAGCCAGGCTTCAACAATACATGAACGGTGAACTTCCAGATGTTCAAGCTGGCTTTAGAAAAGGGAGAGGAACCAGAGATCAAACTGCCAACATCTGTTGGATCATCAAAAAAGCAAAAGAGTTCCAGAAAAACATCTACTTCTGCCTTATTGACTATGCCAAAGCCTTTGACTGTGTGGATCATAACAAACTGTGGAAACTTCTTCAAGAGATAGGAATACTAGACCACCTGACCTGTCTCCTGGGAAATCTGTATGCAGGTCAAGAAGCAACAGTTAGAACTGGACATGGAACAACAGACTGGGTCCAAACAGGAAAAGGAATACTTCAAGGCTGTATATTGTCACCCTGCTTATTTAACTTATATGCAGAGTACATCATGAGAAATGCTGGGCTGGATGAAGCACAAGCAGGAATCAAGACTGCCAGGAGAAATATCAATAACCTCAGATACGCAGATGACACCACCCTTATGGCAGAAAGCAAAGAACTAAAGAGCCTCTTGATGAAAGTGCAAGAGGAGAGTGGAAAAGTTGGCTCAAAACTCAACATTCAGAAAACTAAGATCATGGCATCCAGGCCCATCACTTCATGGCAAATAGATAAGGAAACAATGGAAACAGTGAGAGACTTTGTTTTGGGGGGCTGCAAAATCATCGCAGATGATCTTTAATTTCATTGCAGCCATATAATTAAAAGATGCTTACTCCTTGGAAGAAAAGCCATGACCAACCTAGACAGCATATTAAAAAGCAGAGACATTACTTTGCCAACAAAGGTCTGTCTAGTCAAAGCTGTGGTTTTTCCAGGGTCATGTATGGATGTAGGAGTTGAAGCTGAGGGCTGAAGAACTGATGCTTTTGAACTGTGGTTTGGAGAAGACTTGAGAGTCCCTTAGACTGCAAGGAGATCCAACCAGTCAAACCTAAAGGAAATCAG